GACATTATCTCAAGTCACATTTGTGAGGCAGAAGCTAAAGTAGGAGGTAGTGAAAGGCAAACTCCCGTAGCTCAACAAAGGTGAAGAGAGGTAAGAATGTGCTGCCTTCTGAAGCAAAAGGAAGAGCAGAGGAAGTTTTTTGCCATTAGGAAAAGAAGAAAAAAGAAGTGGTTTTAAACTTCTTTTCCTCGTTTTCATGCTTTCTTTGTGTCCCAGATGGAAAAAGTGGAGCAGAAAATTGCTTTGCCCAAAGCCACACAGTGGCAGTAATTGAACTAGCGGACAGCAACTGCATTGGTTTAAATAAGAAATGTTCAATACATTCATACTGTTCAGGTTATTCTAACTGCTGTTCCTTTCTCTTGTCCACATACACCATTTACTTTTCAACTGTAGTTGCACAGCACTTCTGGTAGCAGAATCTTGTAGGAATTCCCAAATTTTTAGTTGCTTTCAAGAACTTCAAGAAAAGAAGAAGGAATAGGAGATATCAACCTCACTAAATTCTTAAGGGAGTCTCAAATTTTGGGTGCTGTTTTGCTAAGAAAGAGATTGAGGAAGCAGCTCTGATTTCTGTTCTCATCCAGCAGTTGTGACCCTGATTTATAAAGGAGCCGGTGGATCTCAGAGAGTTCAGCCTCACTGTGGTGCGCAGTACACTAAACATAATGATAGTCATTGTTTTGCTCAATGTACAGCCTTAAGTAATGACACACTGGAAAAAACTGACTACCCATTTACTAGATGAGAATTGAGATGCAAAGAAGTTAAGAAATGAAGGCAGTCACAGAGGGATTTGGTGACAGACCTCAGGTAATGCGTGTGGATTTCTGGAGACCTCCACTGCCACTCCAGAAGAGAAACAGAGTGTGTTTGAAGGAGACCATGTAGTGAAGTACAGACTACAAGAGACTAAAAGCAGAAAATAATGGAAGCTTGAAGAATTCATACCTCCTTCTCCAAAGAATCTGTTTTTACACCATAGGTTCACCAGATTGTACTTTTAATCCAAATAGATGCCTCGAATTGATGGAACTGGCTGTTCTCAAGGAGTAGTGGTTGCTTTGGGTCACAATGAAGAAACTTCTGTGCAGCTTTTGTAGTAGAGATCAGACATCACAGCTGCGTTAAAGGACCCAGTGAAAACCACCACAAAGGCTGGTTAATATCCAGCAGCCCATCAAGTGGGTGCCATCTCAACACGGGGAAGCAACTGTCTTTAGGAGCTGTTACATACAAAATCTTGTTATGGGCAAAAAGAAACTCACCTTATGTGTAAAGTCACAAAAAAATGATCTGATTATTACAGAAAAATAAAGAAAATAAAGCAATTGTATAGAAAGTCTCAGTAATACTACAGTTAAAGTTGTTATGCACACACTATCTAGTACCTACCCCTTTCACCTCACAATGGCTTCCATCTGATGGAGGGAACATAGTGGATCATCAGCATCCAGAGTCCTGTGTCTGCAGGAGTATGATGTTGGTGTTCCTGGTTCCCTCTTCTTTCTCTTTTTCCTCTCTTGGAAATAGCTTCCACTTAGGGCTATTTTTACATGCTTCCTAATAAAGCTTTACATCTTCTTTTTTCTTCGCTAGTCTGCAACTATGTATTTTATTTATCTTAAAATCTTACTCTTTCTTCTCCTTTTACCCCTAAGGCTAGCTTCGTCCAGCTCCAGGCCTGCATTTCTTTAACTGACCATTGGAAAGTTGTTTATAGCCTCGGGGTCTCCAGCACCAGCCTGTGCCCCGTCTCTTACTGTCCCAGGCCTACACTTCACACTGCAGCTGGTGTCTTCACTTCTCAAGGTTGCTGCTATTGTGACAAGCCTTTATTTCTGTACACTGTAATGTTGTTAGTCATAAGTATATGATTCTACACAGAGTAACTACTTATTATTAATACCTATATAAAACCTGTGGTTACACCATACAAAGCAAAAGTAAACTAAATTAGCTATAGATGCCTGCCATTAGAAAAATTGATGTTACAGCCAAATCAAGTAAAACCAAAGCTCCAAGATCAGGGAAAGTTTAGACAAAGCACATGTGATAAGCCTCCATCCTGAGGTCTTGTAAACTCAGGACAAAGCCTATGAACTGTTACTAGCAATAGCAATACAGCTACAAGCATTGTTACTGGTATTACTGGGCTACCTGCTATTACCTTCCAATTATGGATTAATATTTGTATGTTTCACACTGTATGTAGAAACAGAGGTAAATATTTCCATAAAGGGCATGGGAAAGAAGCAGGAATAATGATGACTAGAAAACAAGCTATTGCATCTGAACTCATTAGTCTTATGAGCACAGTCCATAGTCCACACACTCTCAGCATAGACACACTGGGTGTGTACACTGCAAACAAGGCCACGAAATCCCCAATACAACAATTACTGTGTGACGGTGGAATTGGGGGCCACACTAGAATAGCATAATGATGACTCCTGATTTTATAGCTTACTTCAACAAAGTGGGGAATAATAAGCAACTTCCAATAGATATTCTCTAAGTATAGCACAGGATACTTATTTGAGCTTTTGTCTTGTCATAGAATAGCAGCTATTTAAAGCACTGTCAGGTCATCTGCTTAAAGCATATATTCACGGCAGAAAGCAATGAGCATTTGGCTTTGAAAAAATAATTTTAATCAATTTTTTCATCAGTATGGTCCATCATGTTATTCAGAAATAGCTTCTTTCAGTAAATGGGTTGTGAATCAATAGTAGATATAAATAAAGCGGTACAAAGGGCACATCATTCAACAAGCTGCCAATCGTTGGAGCAGAAGACGGAAGAAATCAGTATTCCAAGATGGATACACAAATAAATCACAAACAGGAAGATATACACAAAGATGGCACCTTTTTACAGAAACTCCAGAGTTCTGTCTTGTGTCAAGAACCACTGAATTATACATAAGTTTGTATGTGTTTTAAATGAGAGATCAGTATAAGATGGAGTTTCATCTGAAGTCTGTTTTTCACTAATCATTTTCAAGCTCATCCCTCTTGCAGAGTTCTTAAAATACAGAGAATAAATTGCCTGGCTGCCAAAGATCTTTCTGGAACTGGGGAAAAAAGCCCCAAACAAACCCCAAAAACCTGCAGACTTCGTATTATACCTCAAAGGATCAATTCTTGAGATATACTGACTACCTGCAACTCCTGTAAGGTCAGTGAAAAGTGGTGTTACTCAGCACTTTTTAAGATTTAGCCTCCAACAGAAAGAGGAATAAAAAGAGTTTTTTTCAAGCACAGAGATCATAATTTGTATTAGTTATACACATCAGGACAATCTTATTTAGATGTTGCTAGTAAGAGCTTAGAACATGACTCATGTTGTGTCTATCACAACTGTTAATTATTAATTAATATGTAACTTGGAACCTAGCTAACATTTTCAGGCCATTTGTGTGAATAGTTGTTTTCAACTGTGAGCGTCCCAGTTGCCAGGAATTCAATATCCTTAGGTATTTCTTAATTATTAAACATACATAATGTTAATCTGAAAAATCTTCTCTCATCAAAACTATGAGCTCTGTATCTGTTAAAAAAATGTGATTCTCATGGCACAGTTTGAGCCTGCAGATTACACATTCAGCCATGGGTTTAAAAAAAACCCAACAACCCAAATATAAGGACAGAATACTTGTAATTACTGAACTGCAGTTCAGTGAGCCGTCATGCTCACTAACCATGAGGTTTTACGTCTTTTCCAGAAGAATTTATTATTTAAATGGGAATTCTAGATAATTATTGCAAAGCATAGAATTGTCTAATTTCACTTTGAACCCTTCTAAATTACTGACTTCACGAAACATTATGCTGCAGTAAAAGAGAAACTTGACTCACAGGACAAATGCACTTGAATCAGTTTTGAATTGCCACATTTTAATGTAGCTCTTCTGTTCTTGCTGCATCACAAGACAGAATTTCCCATTATGTCTTCTTAACACCGTCTCTTAGTAATGGTTATGACAGTACTACATAGTGGGTCAGCCGGGAATGGGGCCCCAAATGTGTAAACGTTGTATATAAAAGAAATATAAGCCACTCTCTGCCTGGCAGATTCAACAGACAAAAAGCTGGAAGGAAGCAATAAGGGCAGTGGGAACAATGAGATGGCAGCATACATCATGCCATTTTTATTTTTGTTTTCATTTGAGTATTTTAGTCCTTTTCCTGAAGCTTTGTTATGAAAGAACTGAGCAGACAAGATGACCAAGGTAACAAAGGCACAGACCAAACTATAGTAAGCAGCTTATGAAAACACATCAGGGGAGATTTCAGAGTGCAAACTTCAAGCAAACAATTCAGTAGTACTGCCTTGACTTCAGTTTCTAGATGCACCTCACTCTTCTTCCTTGTATAGCCCATGTTCAGTGCTTAAATGTCCTACCCCTAAATAATCTGGATGGGGGGGGGGGGGGTAGGGGGGGGGGGTATGGACTTTCTTAATTAGTGCCTTTTCTCTAATAGGCTAAAAATTCAGTGAATTTGTGCTTTCAATATAGTTGCTAGCTAGGCAGCATTGCTATTTTATAGATAGGAAACAGAAAGGCAAAAAGTGTCTGACTCAGGAAATCTGGGAACAGGTAAGTACATCTACAGCATTCTTTTTTTTTAATCTACAAACTGTGCATCCTCAAGTGTACAACAGCTAATACATGGAATACTTTTGCCATTCTTTTGCAGGAAGAAATGTACGCATTACCCTATTTTTTTTAATAAAGCCTTCCAAATTATCCAGCTTCATTGGATCAATATTAACAATTATTTTGACCACGTATCAGATGAATATGGACATAAAACGAACACTCATTATCACAAAGCAGTCTTAGGCATTTATTTAATGAGATTGGCAACACCAGTACCAGATGAGTGAAAGTCTTTCTTACACTATACTTTCCAAACCATTTAAGTACATTAATGCTTAGAAATTATATACTAAAAAAAAAAAAGACAACATTTGCAAGCCAGTACTGTACACAGGATATTATTTATTTCTTTCAGAATTCAATCAGATGAGTGTAAGGCCCATTTGTATCCAGTTTTAACACCTGCCTGTTTCCATATGTGCCGTGCTTGACGAGAACACCTGCCTCTGCACATTTGGTGCTGGCAGACAGTTCTTTTTCACACAAAGTCACAAACTGAGAATAAAGTTCCAGCCCTTTTTCTTTCTCAATGTTTGCATGGTACTGCATCTTCTTTCCCTTCAGTTTACCACCTAGGGTAGCTTGTGGTATGATTAGCACGTCGCCTGGTAAATCAAGAACTGAAACGTACTCGCCGCTTTCATTTTCACTTAATTTTACACTCAACAACATATTGACTACAAATAAAAATAGAGTAAGAGTTAGTGTAACTGAACCAAATTAAACAGCACCTAATAGAAAATCATAAACAAGATACAATGAATACTGTGATGTGTGACAAATTATTAGAGTAAAAGGAACTGCTTATTAATGAAATGAAACATTAAAATACTGGTAAATACAATCAACCAGCTAAGATGTCTGAGTATTGTGAAGAATGTCAAGGGTATTTATGTTAACATAATATGACTAAAGAGTTATATTTTGGTCATCTGAAATCCTGAAGTTGATTCTAGTTGGACACCCCCAGAGGAACACAGGACCCAATTAGTGATCCTAATTTAATTGCCTGATACTGAAATAGGCAACATTTGCACAACACTACACACTGTAGGAGATAACACCATCTTCAGTGCACTGTGGAGAAGTTTCTGCGTGAGGGTCTTTTCATTCTGCTTGGAGTAGTTTGCAGCAGGACCCAGCACTGATCTGGGCTGAAGTCACTGCTCAGCAGTTTGGTCTCAAGTGGAGTGAGTGACCTTCAGTGCTCCACTGTGAGACACATGGGTGCCAGCTTGTTTTTTCAGAGAGGAAATAGGCAGGAAGATCAGAGATGCAATTTGGTCCATAAATCAGAATATATAAGCTTGCAAACAAAATTGATGCATTTACTAACATTATATTTTCCAGCGTATATATGTTTGCATAAGAAATCAAGTCATCCCCCAAAACTGTCCTCCAGCTCTGTAAAAGCTAGGAGGATACTAGTCATGCCTCCAAACCCATAAAAGCTTAATGTTGTTGGAACCAAGAAGAGCTGAGTTGTGATTCAGGAAGCAAAACCAGTCATTTAAACAGTTTCAAAATATATTTAGGAAAAAATATTTTGTAAGACAGACATTTAAGGAGGATAGCTGTAGATAAATCTAATAGGAAACAACTTTCTTTTTCTGGCCTGTTTTTCTGTCATTATTCTCAAGTAAAGTAACTCTCTCATAAAACCCTCACAAGAGCAAAAGCAATTTTCATACCATAGTTTTAAATACACCCAAAGATTTCAACTTAGTTTAGCATCACAGAAAGACTCTGCTCTCTAAGACCAAGACCCCCAGCAGCTGCTCTCAGCATTTTCAATAGCACCTGTGCTATTGCACAGGCTGTGCACTGCCAGGTCTTTCTGCTGGTCCCAATCAGTAGCCCAAAATAGACTATTGTTACTTGACCTTTTGCAAAACCACTAATATCAGCCAGCCACAGAAAAGAAAAGGGGCACTTTTATCTGGAATATGTGGCATCATGGAATTTCTCAGGTGATGCAGTGCTACTGACAGAGGAAAGGAGGGAGAAGAATGAAATAAAAGTAAAGAAGAAAACAAAACCAACAAATCAAAACTTCAAGCCAAAACAACAGTGGGTGAAGACAGTAATCACTACCATTTGACCTTTTCCACAGCATCTTCTCTGCTTTGATGTAAATGTTAAAGTGCATGTGGAGAAGAGGGAAAGAAGTGTAGATATTGCTGCTACCACTTCTGAACCAGAAAACTGCACTTAAAATGCTGACTGTATACAGTATCACTGAAAGGGGATGGGTAGGACACTGTTTAGTTATCCACCCACCTCCCTCTACTGGCTATAGTTTTAAATATACTGTACCTACAGTGAGATCAGTGTTAAAATACTTCTCAAATCAAGCCATGAATTATTTAAAACCAGTTTTCTCTAAATTGAGATCTGTCCTGGACTGAACATGCTGCCTGATACATGTAATATGTCAAGCAGCAGCTGAACACTTTCTCTGTTGCCTAGAATGTTATCACCATGGGAATTGACTTTCTAAGAGGTTGATCATGAGCAGACGGACAGAATGAGAGGTATGGACAACTGTCAAAATAAACAAGACCAAGAAAGCTGTTCTTTCAGACAGGTGATTGGTTTGGAATGATGCTATCTGATGACTTTTTGGCTCTTGTCCAAATTAAGCCAAAAGGTTGCTGCCTTCTCTGCCTCTACTGCTCTTCTTTTTCAACAATACAAGAATTGATAAGGATTATATCATACCAATTTTTGGAACAAGATCCTCATCAGCACCTTTGAAGAAGCATATGTAGATAACAAGCCCCCTCTGGATCTACAAAAGATTACAGAAAACTATGTCAATGTTTCTCACTGTCCACCAGGCATACTTACCATTAAAACTAGTATCAAAAATAGCAAAACTGCACAAGAAAAGCTTCTGAGAGCAGTTTTGGTTATCTAATATAGCTTCAGACATCAAGTTTACACACCACACTGTGGAAGCTTATGAGATATATACTGATTATCTGCACAATGCTTCTACATACAATTAAGCCAATTTATTAGCTCCATGTAGTGCCAAATTTAGTTGGAATGTACAATGGACAGTATTAACATAGACAAGGTAACAAGATGAATTAGTGTACTTAAATCCAGTAAAGGAAATAATTTAAGCTTTTTCCTATCAAATATACAGATAAAATAATTTTCAGTGTGAATTACAAGTTTATTTCCTATCATGAAGCATGACAAACACCACAGGACTTGTCAGTGAACTGAACTATATTTTGATGTCAAAAGCAATCTAGTACAAGATAATTCTGAAAAAAACACAGAGTCTGTTAATTAAAGATTGAAATATGATGACCAACTTAAACATGATGACCAACAACTGAAGTTGTTCGGAATATTATTTAAGAGTGAGTGAAATATTTTTGGTGAAATGGGACCTTTCCCCTGATTTGCATAGAGTAAAGGAGTAAAAGATATGCTACTTCTTTAGCAGCTAGAGGGACTACTTGTAAGAAATACTGATTTGAGGGAAGAATTAGGTCTGTACTGAGGAGAAAGCACAAGGAAATTCTCGTGTAGCTTTTCTACTTTCTTGGTTAGTTCACAAGGACTGTGTGCAACAACCTCTGCTTTATTAAGACAAACTGACAGGCTCTGGCAGACAACAGCAATTATGTCTCATGCACAAGTATACCTGAATGGCTTAACTTCTTCAGGATAAAAAAAGAAAGGCATACAATATCCACAGGCATATAGTATCTAAAGAAAGCCTCAGCACTGCTTTGTCAAGAATAAGCGTCTTTATATTTTTGTTAGAAGAAAGATAAATGTCAGCTTATGAAATGTCACCTAAGAGATACTAACTAGATTGGGGCAGGAAGGAGTCACTAATACAGATGTTATAAAAGCAAAAGGATAAGAAATGTGGATAGTTACTAAAAAATGCCTTTATTATTTTTCTTTTCTTTATTTTTCCTTTCCCCTTTTCTTTAAAAGATAAAAGTTTTAAGTGAAAAAAGCTCAGCTATACACACAAAATTTTATCCCTTTGTTACTGCAGAGATTAAACAAAATGCTCAAGGCAATAACTGAGAAGAGCTATGCCCTCTCTACTATTTTTCTGGTAACTAACTTCTGGAAAAAAGAGACTGCTCTTTGTAGCCAAAATGTCACATGCTGGGAATTTTCAAAAGCTTTAAATGGCTCCTTTCAAAACTCATTTTGACCTCTGCAGAATATTATACATGTTCCCAAATGACTGCTGTATTTCAGAAACACTCTAAGAAATTTGATGGCCTGAACCTCAAATGACATTTCAAACCATCTGTTCAAATAAAGGAGAGAAATGCAGGCTGCCAAAAGTGAAATATTGTTACAGGTTTAGCTAAATATTCATTCAACAAACAGACCAGCATCAGAATATTAAAAGAGAAGAATAAGGTACATGTACCTACTAATAAAAATATTTGTGATAAAATAGGCCAAACACATTTACATTGTATATACCTGACACTGAATTAGAAGTGTCTCCATGAAACAGCACACATCACAAAGAATCATTCCACTTGAGAATTGTGACTGTTTTTTGCAGTCTCACATACAAAAGTAACGATATTCTGCAAGCAGCTCATTAAAAAAGACACAAAGATAAATAAAGTGACACCTGCAAGTCCTAAGATCAGATAGCTAAAAAGTAAGTAAAAACACTCATAAATTTCCAGCCTCTGTCATGATTTGATGCCTATTTTTGAATATACTTTTTATCACAAGGTGAGACATAATATTAAGGGGAATTAGAGGGATAGGACTGCTAGACGATGTTTCTCTTTGTATTGCATGTTTATGATCTTCTAGAACATTTTTCAACCATGCTATATTTAAAAACTATTCAGCTATTGTATGTTGAAACTTACCATTTGAACTATAGCTGAAAACCGTGGGAACATATGCGCAACCATGTTTCAACCTCTTGTTATGACTTACTTTCTTGTTCTTTAGTTTTTTTAATTGAACAGATGTAAAATTGAATGCTGTTTCAAGAGCTAACCCAGTAATAATAATGCGTGTCAGTCCTCTGATCTCGTATCAATGTTTCAGGTGCCCTAAGAATAGTGCTTGTTGCCAGTGTAAGGAATGGTAATGTGTAAACCTTTTGAATCAAAGCAAAAACATTGCCTTTGCTGGAGGTCCTCTGTAACCTGTTGCAGTCTAGCTGACCAAAAAAAAGCTATACTTAACCCAGGAAAATTCAAGCAAAATAACATAAATAAGAAAGTCATAAATTCAACATGCTGATGTGCAAAGAGCCACTGCAAGGAACTTACGTAGTGACGGGCAGGTGCTTGGCCAGGAAAATTGTGCTTTGTGTGGATTTACTGTTACCAGTAAAATGCCTACATAAATAAACCAGCAAATCAAGTTACTCTGCAACACTAGCACTTATTATACAACTATCCTAAGTAATCATCAGATCAGTCAAACCACATCATGAAGGGCGAGTCCCCACCCCCATGAAGCCATACAGCCAGCCTTAGCAATGCTGCCACCAAACACTGCTTTTTAGCTTTTGTAGGAAAAACAATAACTAACTCCTTCCTCACCCTCCTTACTAAATACATTCACCTGAATTTTGCAGGATTTCATTAGCAAACCCCAAATACACACTGCAAAACTCTACCTTTCCACCACCACCACACC